CCCCCCCCTGGCACCAAAGCTGGATCCGCCCTTGATACATTGAAATGACTAACGGTGTGGAAAATTTAATTCTGAGGGTAGATCATAAACATGACCCACACCCACACACTCTTACACATAACAGAATGTATGTCGGAATTACTAACGGTGTGGAAAATTCCGAAGGTAGATATGAAAAATGGTAACTTATACTCCATTGTGGGCACGCATATCGAAGATAATGAAATAATAATCGCGTAATATCAATAACGCAGACCTTCAATCTTAAGTGAAAACTGCATACACTAACCTGATTGCAAACATTTACAGATTAAATAATTGAGTTTATACATGCGTCTTTTGATTTTCGCATTGACATTTATCAATCCAATCAGCGTTTTCCGTTCAAAAACTCAAATTAAATTAGCAATTCAAAACGATTTTAAACGTTGCTAGCACTCAAAATTATTATTTAACTAGCTTTTGCCCGCGATTCCGTACAAAAGGAATTAAAAAAAAAAAAAAATTGAATAGCCTAGTGTTCTTCCGGACTGTTCTTCATTTATGCCTTTCATAGAGATCCCTTCAGCACTTTAAGCTACAAACAACAAACATCCATCTAAACTTTCGCATTTATATTACTATCATAGTCACTTTTACCGTTCAATAACAATAATATCCCGTTCCACGTGTGTTCAAGTTCGTGTCACATCTGCACTGCGGGGGACGACCACCAGGCGCTGATCTGGGACATCCAGCAGATGCCGCGCGCCATCGAAGACCCCATCCTCGCCTACACCGCCGCGGAGGGCGAGGTCAACCAGATACAGTGGGGCGCCACGCAGCCCGACTGGATCGCCATCTGCTACAACAGACACACCGAGATCCTGCGCGTCTAGCTGCGCTGCCACCTCCACCTGCACCTCCTGCACTTCAGGTACTATGAAGGATATGATACGGGACTTTTACATTACAAGTTCGGACTTTTACAAACTGTAATCGGACTTTTACAATATAAGTTCGAACTTTTACAAACTTAAATCGGACTTTTACAAACTAAGTGCTGATTTTACAAAATAAGTTCGGACTTTTACAAACTAAAGTCGGGCTTTTACAAACTAAGTTCTCTAAAAAAAGTCGGAATTAAATTTGTAAATCTCAAAATTAGTATTTTGTTTGTAATAGTCCGAATTTTTTGTAAAAGTTACAAAACTAAATTGTGAATCACAAATTATGTCAGGATTTAAAATTCAAATTGTACTTTGTAATAGAATTTGTTATGTAAATGTTTGAATTTGAAGTTTAAAAGTTGTAAAAAGACAACCGACAAGGAAACATGAAAATGTCATTAACTTGATGCTGTGCGTAAAAATGTATTTTTCAAGTAGATTTACAATATCCGCAATATTAACACATAAAAGGTGACAAAGATTAAGACAAAAATAAGTAATTGAAGAGTTATTGAAAAAAAAAGTAAAAAAAAAACCATACATACGAATTGAGTACCTCCTTCTTTTGGGAAGTCGGTCAAAAATAATAGTCATTGTTGATTTTAAATGAAATCGCTAAGCGAATTTTCTGTACTAAAGTTGGCACTATTTTGGAAACTAAGAACATACGCACACCTTTGACTAAACTATCGCACAACCGTGCGATTGTCAATTGTTTAGCCAATTAAACTGTTTAGCACATTTAAAATCGATTGTGCGCTCCATATAAGCTTATAGGAATCAAAGCGAGACAACAGTTGTGCGATAGTTTAGTCTTAAGTGTGTGCTCTTAAAGTAATGGGATCTCAAAATTAACTCTTACTTTGAGAGATCTAATTTTTTTTTATAACATAAGGTAAACGAGCAAGCGGACACCTGAATCCGCCAATATGGCGAAGCGACTGCCCATAGACATCCGCAAATGCAGATGCGTTGCCGACCCTTATCAAACGGAGGAAGAGACGCACATAAAGAGGATATTTCCCCTTCCTATGCATCTCCTCCCCCGTCAAATCTGCTTCCTTTCCCATCCTCTCCTTTAAGAAAATGGTGGTAAAGAGAAAGGGACTTAATTTTTATATCATCCTATAATAAATTATATTTAATGGTATTTGATGGCAAAAAAAAACTAAAAAAATATTGAAATAATCCATGGTGTGTAATTGATTACTCTTTTAAGACTGATCATATAATAAATAGCACATTATAAGCATAAATTTTACTATAAAGGCTGCCATACACGGTGCTTCAAACAGTCCGTGTATGGCGGCTTTAAGTATTTTAATTGGTACAAAATTGTCAAGGATAGGTTTTATAACCTTATATATATTGGAATTTGCTTATGTAACGTTTTATCATTGTTTAAATATCTTATATAAATAATGGTAAATCATTACAAATCCAATTAGAAGCGTTTAAAGGTAATTTAATTTGAACAGTAGTTAAAATAGTGAATATAATGTTGGTAAGGTAATTTAGTCAGTTTCCATTGCCGAAACATGTATAAAAACGTCTTTTTTATCTATACTAATATAAAGAGGAAGGATTTGTATTTATAGATTTTTGTATGTATTGAAATAACTCAGATACTGGACAGATTTCAAAAATTCTTGCACACTTGAAAAGCTAGGCTATATTTTTAATTTCAGTCGGGAGGCTTTGATATGTGTTTCGACAATGAAAACTCATTAGAAAACCTGATATCGTTTTGTAGTTGTTTTATTGATGCAATAATTGTAGTGGTAAATATAGTTGTAATGTACAGGGTGTTCGGGGAATATGTGTACAACGAAGTGCTTTGTTTCTTGGCCAAAAATATGATTTAACTAAACTTTCATCTGTCCAAAGTTGTGTAGTTTAAATGCTAGATGATTCCTAAGTTTTTGAAAACTTACATTTCTTCAAATATTTTGGGTTTCTTTTGGTTATATTTTATTTAAACCGTAGATTCGATACTGACACATTTCTAAGCAAACACATGTTAAAATTTTATCTGAACTTAAAAACAACAGTATAAACAGTATAAAATTAAAAATCAATCATATTTTTAACCACCTGTGTAATCACTGTTAATCTTTTTTTTTATAATTTACAATATATTGGTTTCTTCATAAAATTTTGATTAGTCACATTTTCCTAAAAAAATGTTTTCCAAATTCTTAAGCATTTAACTATTGTGTGAACATTAAAATGTAAATAATTCTTCCAGTACATAATTCCTGAACACCCTGTTTAACAATTTCAGTTTTAATATATTGACAAACTGAAGTTATGAAAACCAATAGTATTAAGTTTAGATAATTGTTCTTGGATAAAATTCTTAATTGTGTGGTAGTGACAACTTCAATTAAGTTTTCAAGGTATGATATATGAATTACCCAACTTTTACATCAGAATAGGCACAAAACATGCTTATTATCAACTTCTACTCTCGAATCTATCATACTTCATACTAATATTATAAATGCGAAAGTTTAGATGGATGGATGGATGTTTGTTAGAGTTTGTAGCCTAAACGGCTGAACAGATTTGGATGAAATTTGGTATAGATGTAGAGGGTAGTCTGGAAGAACACATAGGCTACTCACTTTTGTTTTTTTTTAGTACCACGCGGACGGAGTCGCGAGCGAAAGCTAGTTTAACAAAGTACATTTTCATTTGCTTGCATTGGCGAGGTAGTCGTGGATGGAAATGTGAGTTACCACACCCCACGTGTCCCGTGTGTTATATGAAGTTATAGCATATGTGCATTTTGTATATTGTTAAAAAAATTAATTTTTTATTGAAAGAAATATCAGGTCAAAAAATTGCAATTAATTGCACAATTACATAAATGAGTGTTTGAGGTAATTAAATGAAACAATCATTTTGTATACAATGTTGTACAGAATTTATTATACATTAGTACAAAATATAACTTCAATTTGAAAAGAAAAAGCATTCAAAAATAAAAATAAAAACATCTTTTCTTTGTAAAGCAACACAAATAGTTTAAAATCACACTTGACTTGTATGTTATACAATGATAATTTAATTCTCGTTTGACGACTTAGGCTTTGGTAATTACAAAAGCAGAGTCTGAAAATCTAGACCGAGTCAGTCAACCTTAACATAGGCTTTGAGCCTCAAGAGTGGGAACATAAGAGTTGACACAATTCCAGCCTGAAATCAATACACTTACAAAATGAATACTTGCATTTCAATGTAGAAAACTTTAGTGTCTTCTTGTAAGTCAATATAATGCTGAAATTGTACAAGTCGTAGTTGAATTTAATTCTTAGAAATGTGATTTTTTTTAAATTAATCTTTTATTTAATTTATACACCAATAGTAAACGTAATTTGTAAGCTTAAATATTATGTAATAAATGATATAAACACAAAATAGTTTTATTCTACACTGACTTTTAAAATTACCTTATTAGGATACACACCAATGTCTTAATAAATAAATTTTGTAGCGGTAAAAAAAGGAAGCATGAACGTTTTTTGCTGACACCAATATTAAATTATTAGCGTATTGTCGTTTACTCAGATCTTAGACCCAAAGAAAATTCCTCGTACACCCTCAACAAAGACTCGGGAGTACGAGGGATAAAATCTATGAATACACGTTCAAAATGTTCCATCCTGACTTCCTGGCAATCTATGTCCCTCTCCAATGCATTTAAAGCTGCCTCGTGACACAACGCTTCTAACTCCGCTCCCGAGAATCCTTCCGTTTTAGCTGCGAGAACGTGCGGGTTCACATCGTCGCTAACACTCATTTTAGACAATTTCAACTCTAGTATCTGCAATCTTGTCTCGATATCAGGCAGTGGCACGTAAATAAGACGATCCAGACGTCCAGGTCTCAGCAACGCTCGGTCCATTCTGTCCGGGCGGTTGGTAGCTGCTACTATCGTGACAGCTTTCAGTGGCACCACACCGTCCAGCTCCGTCAGCAGCTGCGCCAGCACCCGCTCGTGCACCCCCGCCTCGCCCGAGCCGCGCTCCCCGCCTATAGCATCCATTTCATCAAAGAAAATTATAGAAGGAGCCACCTGACGCGCTTTTCTAAACAAATCCCTGACCGCCTTTTCTGATTCACCGACCCATTTGGAAAATAATTCTGGCCCTTTGATTGATAAGAAATTGAGACCACTTTCTGTCGCCAAGGCTTTTGCGATCATGGTCTTTGAGCAGCCGGGTGGTCCATACAGCAGCACTCCACTCGGCGGCCGAATGCCCAGCCGCTTGAAACTCTCGGCATGCTTCAGAGGCCATTCCACAGCTTGACGTAATTTCAGTTTTAAATCATCTTGTCCTCCAATATCTGACCATCTGACGTTCGGAACTTCTATTAGTAGCTCTCTCATAGCGCTAGGCCTTACGACAGTCAATGCAGTTAACATGTGTTCCTTGAGTATGAAGTCACTATTATCTTTAATACATCTCAGAGAAGCTTGTGTGCACAGGTTAACAATATCAGCGGCGACGTAGCCGTGAGCTAAATCAGATATCGAGTCGATATCCTGTGAGGAAATTTTATTGGGCAGACTTTGTAACAAGGTATACAAAATGTCTTTACGTCTAATTCTATCAGGTATGGGCACTTCAATTTCTTTATCCAGCCTTCCGAACCGTCTTAACATTGGGTCTATGGCGTCCGGTTTCCTGGTTGTTGCGAGAACAAACACTCTATTTCCTTCTGAATGTAAGTTATCTAATAGTGAAACGAAAGCAGATGTTACTCTCCGTTCCTGCTCCGTGCTGCCTGACGAGCGTCGCGGGCATATTGTTTCAATCTCATCAACTAAAATTATAGTCGGTTCATTAGCGACAGCTTTTGCAAAAATATTTTTCATAGTTGCTTCAGTTTCTCCAAAGTATTTGCTGAAAATAGCTGGCCCATTCAACTCTAGATGGAAACAATGTAAATTTTCAATAAGATATTTACAAATAGCGGATTTCCCTATACCTGAATGACCATAAAGTAACAGACCTCGGGTCGGTTGGAAGTTGGCAAATGCACTTTCAATATTAAATGATATCTTGATTAATGTTTTTATTTCATCCAGAATATCATCAATGCCACCCAATTTGATCGGTTTCCTTTTCTTTTTTTCTTCCGTCTTCTCTTGTTCCCAAACAGTATTCTCATTAAGAACATACCATGCTAAGTTGCTATTCTCATCTTCTTCAGAATTAATTCTCTTCATCACAATTTCTAGTTTCCTACCAAAGTAATAGTAGACAAGAATGCTGCCAAATGAGATTAAAATATTGTTAAAGTGCTCCTTTAGAATTTCGGTAATATCTGACTCTACCTTATTGTCGTTAATTTTAAAGTAAACATGAAAGGCTGCTTTCAGCTGTCTAGAGAGCAATGACACTGTAACTTGACCCCCACCTCCACACCAAGCTCCAGACAAATCTGAAACAAACAATAATCTTGTAACTAGGAGGTATACATCAGTAGATTAATAATTGAAGAAAAATTTTGATGGGAAAAGCAACAGGTATTTTTCTCTACTAATATATTTTGTTAGAAGTGAAGTAGCTTTAGTTTACACATTAATGAAATATCCTCGATATAACGATAATTACCAGCAGCCGGTAGAATTACAGCAGCAGCTGCGGAAGATCTGGAAGGCCAGACGCGTTTCACGAGCTTAGGAGCGCCCAATCTGGTGAGTTCTACGGGTGCTCCGATGACTGCGCCGAGCAGAGATGCAGTTGTAGGATGTAATAGTACGGAATCGCGCGGGGCACCATCCGGCGGAGCGCTGCCCCGCTGCAAATATGTATGTAATTTGCCATCTTGCATATATGGACATTTCATTTGTTCTTTCGCGCATTTTAATTCCAAATGTATGTTTTTATCACTCGAGGGTATATTACAACCACAATGTTCACATTCTAACCACAATGTCTTTTTACTTTGTTTGGGTGCCATTTTTTAATGCACTGTAATAGCACTGTGCGTCTCACTGTAAGAGAATCAATTCAAAAACAGTGTCGTTCTTTTAAAATATAAACTCAAGGGCTCATCGGAAAGTCACAATAAATCGGAGATTTACCACATTTTAACTCATTGTCGACAAAAACAGCTCAGTCTTAGACAGACAGATCCATAAATGTCAATGAAGTGTCAATGATATTGATTTACTTATTTCGATACAGGCATACTAAGCAAAGACCCACATTCAGCAGTGGCCTGAGTGGACGACCTCAAGCTGGCAATGATGTTGATGTTGATGATGATGATGATGATGAAGATACTAAGAAAAAAAAACTCAATAGTCAATTGCCAATTTTTAATTTTGTTAAACTTAACAAATTCTTCATATGATAACAAGATTTTAAGACAGTAAATATCAAATCTCGTAAAAATAGTGGTAAGGCAAAGTATTTAAAAAAAAACTAATCTAAGTTTACTGGCTGCATGAAGATTGCCTTTGCTAATTTTTGGCAAACCTATTTTGTCCATCTGAATGACATAATGCGCTTTTTCCACTTGGGCAGTACAGTTATCAGTAACTTTCAAAATGTAGACTGTTATAATTTGTCTAATAAGTTAAAGATTAGTTTGACAATTTTGTAGGGATGGGTTATGTCAAATCAAGTATGAATCTTTTCAATTTTCGATTTTAACACTCATAGAAATTGGAATCGATGTATTTATAGTTTTACTATATTAATCAATATTAAAAACACTGTTTTTTTTTTTCATTCGGCCATCCAAAGTCCCATCCATCCATCAGTTATGAGAAATACAGAGAATGAGATTTAATAGTTTCTTACTAAAACGATCATGCATAATCTAAGTGGAATTCGTTAATATTATTTTCATCGCATCTCTATTCACTACTAGAACCGTCCCTTATTTTAACTAATAAGTAAATCATAATTTTAGTTTGAAAATGTTAAATGATCTAACCGAATATTGATAGTTAATACTTGTTCGTTATGCACTTATGTTCGTCCGTATGATACCATATGATACTATTAAGTACGGCATTTATCTTCATACAAATTTTATTCAATACTTTATAAACGAACTTTGACTTTATTAATAAACCTTAATTAGACAAACTATAATACTCTAAAACTATAATCTGTGTGAACGCCAATAGGCACCAGTGAGTCCATACATAGCAGTTGCCAGTTGCCACTGTCCAACTGTACTGGCCCAGTGTGAACGGGGTTTTATGACATGTAACATATTTCTTTTTCGTTATATTTTACGTTCATTGGTTGATGTTTTGTTTTCAATTGCCGTATAAAGAAATTCATAGTTTCTTTTTATTTATTAATTTAATTTATAAGTTGTACAAGATAAGTGATATTTAGGACATTGGTTTCGTAATGACAATATCTGCAAAATATATTCTATAAAGCAGTGAACAAATTCTAACTGTGTAAAGTTCTACAAAGATGACTCTCGCGGAATTCTTCAGCTGTTCATTGCTTGCATTCGGGGCACCCTTAGCGATGTTCGCGCTGACCATCGCCAACGACCCGGTGCGCATCATCATCATGATAGCGGCAGCGTTTGCCTGGCTGCTTTCATTCCTCGTGTCGTCTCTGGTGTGGTTTGCTGTGGTCCCTCTCCGATCTCAGCTTGCGTTTGGTATGGTTTTTGCTGTTATCATACAAGTGAGTATAAATCGTCTATATAAATAAATTTTAAGACAAAATTTTTACCAAATTTTGAAATACTCTGTATGAATTTTAGGAAGCATTTCGTTACGGCACCTACCGTCTATTAAGAAAGACTGAAGCAGGCTTGAAGGAGATCTCAGAGAATCATAATATTAGCAACAACAAAATGGAGATGGCCTATGTTTCAGGGCTTGGGTTTGGGACCATGAGTGGTGCATTTGCCCTTGTCAATGTACTCGCTGATTCAGTAAGTAACTATATATTACTAGAAATGTTTGACCATTTATTTCTCTGTATTCATGAAAACATAAAATGCTTTTTTTGGAGAACATTTTAGTCAAGTCAATATTATTGTCACACTAGCTTTTGCCTATGACTTTATACACACATAATTATAAGAAAATTAGTACAACTGATTATAATGTAGGAACTTACAGAGTGATGGAAGTTAAAAATAAAATTGTCTATTTTTTTTAACATAAATGAACCAGTGTTCGACCATGACTCCACCTAAACTAAGTGAAGACGTGGCCGAAGGATAGAGCATGTTATCTCAATAAGTGCTGATTCACCGTGCTCTTAAAGGCACCCATGATAATTAATCAATTTACATGTTAATATTATTTTATTTACAGGTTGGCCCTGGAACATTAGGTCTGTATGGTGGAACGGAATTCTTCTTTGTGACAAGTGCAGCGATGACACTTTGCATGATACTTCTTAATACATTCTGGAGTATAATATTCTTTAGCGGACTGGATGACAAGAACTACATGAAGATTACATGGGTCGTTGGATCCCATTTTCTTGTGTCTGGTTTGAGTTTATTAAATCGTAACCAGTGGTATGCGGCAACAATTCTCCCGTCATATATAGTTTTAGTTGCAACCGCAGTAATTGCATTTCGATCAGCCGGAGGTACCACGAAAGGGTTAATGCAAACCCTTGCTGCTAGATCATAAGAGATACATTTAGTGTTAGTTATCACATTCTGTTATTTATTAATACTTTAGATTTGTAACTTGTAAGTTTTAGTTGAAATGTTTATCATAATTGACATATTAATAGCTTTACTAAACTTTTCTCGCAAATTTGGGAACCCTTAAGTGCATGATGATGTATTTATACATTATTTTCCTTAGACAATTATTTAAAAAAAATTAATTTACCTTATTATCTGTTAAATTTACTACCTGTTTCAATCTATGGCACATAAAAAGAAGAAAATCATGTATTTAAGCAGAAATTTAAGCCATCTTTGTTTTTAAATAGCAATTTACTATATTTGTATATGTATAATTAAAAACAATATTAATATTTGTAATTGGACAGTTTTATTTTAACTTAACAATAAGTATATATTATAATTACATAGATTGATGTTTATCACAATTGTTGCAGTAGAGTTACAATTCCACAATAAAAATGTATCAAAACAGATGTTTCTTCAACAAGTATTAAAACAATTTTTATATTATCTGTCTTTTTTTATATCTTATAACAAATGAGCAAGCAAATGTTGCCCATAGACACAAAAATGCAGATACATCAACCTTTACTTTATGGTCTTAAATACTGAAGTTATTAATTGCCAGCATCATTGTCTTCAGCAAGTTCGCTAAGCAAGGAGTCCACAGTCCACACAATGTCTGCAGCGTCTGACTCCTCCACTTGAGGCACATATGACATGAGCACATCCAGAACAGCCTCCACACCCTCACTGGAGCCGCTCACACCACCACCAACCTCCGCTAATGTGTTCGCTGTTTCTGCATCTTTTTGGTTGGCACTACACATTTTGAAAGAAAAAAAATATTACTATAATAAAGACTTGATGCAATGCACTAAAGCTATAAGAAACACTCACATGGGTGGCATAGAAATTTCCTTCTCTAAAACGTCCTGTAAATCATCCAGGTCGGGTATAGTAGGTATATCGTCGATGGAGTCTGGAGATTTCTTGGGTATCACAAATTCTCTAAAAAAATATAAATTATATAAATACTTTGACTATAAAATTATTGACGAAGTTAAACAGTACTTACATGTATATAATTTAAAAATGCCTAAACAATAAAACACAAGGTTCGGAATGAAATAGAATCACGTAACTTGAAACGGAATTCAGAATAACGAAACCTATTTTAACTTACTTTGCCTCTATATGAGTTCCTTCTGCCCAGACCCCTACTTTCCGAGGTTCCGGCACACTGGAATTAAATGGTTCAGTCATAATTTCAAATCATTGAAATATAAACACAGTAACCTGTATAGTTGCTTAGCATCTGTACAGTACACACACAGAAATAAAAAACTTAACAGATGACAATGACAGTTTATGCAACGCTTCTTTTTGTCAGAATTTTCCCACAAAGTATATTAAAAAATCAAATGTATTCTGGATTTTAATGTTGCTTGGTTGCCGTGGAAGCAGACGCCTGGGATTAGCATGAAATTAAAAAAAATCTTCTATTTCCAGTCAGAGTCCAGGTAAAATCACTCCACTCACTCACCTGTTCCAGAAATATTGGCCAGGGCGCCTTTTTAAATTACATTTATAAAAAACGAGCTGTTGCCCGCGACTTTGTACGCGTGGTATTAGAAAACATACAAACTATATAAATTACAAAAAGCTACGTATCCCTCGGGAACCGGCCATTTCTCGGGGATGAAGCTTATCCCATGTGTACTCCAGTCTTTGTTTTATATCTGTGCCAAATTTCAATAAGATATGTTGAACCGTTTCAGAAGGATTGAGTAAACATTAAAAAACTAAATCAATGAATCTCACGGAAACCGTAACTATTCCATGGATAAAAAATAGCCTATGCGTTCTTCCAGACTATGCTCTAAACCTGTGTCAAATTCCATGGAGATCCGTTCAGCCGTTTAGGCTACAAACGCTAACAAACATCCATCCATCCATCCATCTATCCATCCATCCATCTAAACTTTCGCATTTATAATATTAGTAAGATTGCCTGTAATATGCCTGTTCATGTCAAAGACAGACAAACATTTTTATAAATGGGATTATCGTTGTCAACAAAGCAAATACAACACTACAACACCATTGGTCATCGTCGCGTAAAATGGATTTTTTCTTTTGATATTAGGTACTGTGCGTATTGATGTACATACAATGGAGTACCACAGATTCGAACTTTCGAACAGGTCGAAAACATGTTTTGACCTGACTTATTTTTATCAAAAATTGCTTCGTTTGGGAGTTAGAGGGCTGTGAGGGATTCACAAGTTGTTTGTTAATTCTTTTGCTGAAAGGCGTTCGAAAGTTTACTGATAAATCCCTCTTCCACTAACAGCGACCACGTCGTTCGTCTGCTCACTGACGCCAGTTAATAAATGACGTCGTAAGCCCATCGGCAGTGGTTTTGTGCATAAGTAGCAGTACAATATAGAAGAAAAAATGAAAATACCAACATGATCTTACGATAAAATCTTTATTTTTGAAATTATATAAAAATGAGAACATAATTAGCACATTTTGAATGTGTTTCATTGACTTGTGATGACACCATTGAAGTTGGAATTCAACATTTCATGTTGACATGAAGTATTGGTACAATTATTGCCTCAAGGCATTTGGTAACAAGCCTTTGAGAATCAATGTTTCAGCTTACATTAAAAGTTTACATTTTACTTTCAATTTAATGATTTAATCATAACAAAATATAAATTGATAAGAAATAAAACTTATATTTTTAAGATTTTTATTTTGACCTATCAATTGTTACAATATTTTTTGATCTTTGATCATTTTAGAAAAAAAAAATCACAAAACTTATATAAGAAAAGTAAAGTTAATCTCCATTTTAATACAAAACCACTAATATCAGCAGTATTTAGTTAAAAAATTAATAAACCATATTTTTTTTAATATTTATACATTATTAATTTGATTATGGAATATGTATAAATAACAATAACTATTACAATTTTCGAATATATAAGCACCAATTCTTGCACAAGTTAACATCAATATTATACATAAAAGTATGTACAAAGCAAAAAGTACCATTAGTTTCTGTCCCACTATTGACTGATAGAGGCTCAGATAGCATAAAAGTGATCAGTCAGAATACCAAAATGATATTTCCATCACATATTTTATACATTGTATTGTTATCAGACAATTTACAATTTGGTGGGACAGGCTCTAAATGATATAAATTTATTTACATTCTTGAAATTTGTTACTTTATAAACCAACCGCAATGGGCTAGCTTTGACAATGGCTAGGCCCCTAAATTAGGGTAGGTGTTAATGACGTGTAAGGCGACATCGGGGAAGACGAGGTGCAAGGGCGCGCGGGGGAGCGCCACCAATCGGCATCGATGCGCTCGCGATGTCATTCAGCGAAATTTCCGTTTATTAGACAAACGTGTTAACTATCTTTGTAAAAGTGCAAAT